CGAGTTGGCTCCCAACACCCACGTCAGGCAGTTCACAAACACCTGCAACTCCAGCTCCAGAGAATCCACTGCCCTCTCCTGGTTTCCAAGGACATGTGTGTGCACGAGTGCATAAATAAATAAATAAATAAATAAATAAATAAATAAATCTTTAAATATCAAAATTCATGCCGGGCAGTGGTGGCACACGCCTTTAATCCCAGCACTTGGGAGACAGAGGTAGGTGGATTTCTGAGTTGGAGGGCGGCCTGGTCTACAGAGTGAGGTCCAGGACAGCCAGGGCTATACACAGAGAAACCCTGTCTCGGAAAAAAAAACAAAACAAAAACAAAAAAACAAAAAAGCTCATTATGAAGAAGTTGCTAAGGCAACTGAGAGGCTACAATAGTCAGAAGCCAGAGAGAAAGCATTAGAATAACTTTCTCCTTTTGTAAGATTTTAAAATATGTATCTAGACAAATGTATGCCATGTGCATGCTCACGCCTCCAAGGCCAGCAAAGGCTGGAGTTACAGGAAGTTGTGAGCCATCTGACGTGGATGCTGGGAACTGAACTCAGGTCTTCAGGAGGGCAGCAAATCCTCTTTTTAAATTTGTTGGAGATTTTATTTGTTTTTATTTTAAGTGTATGAGTGTTTGTCTGAATGTATGTCTGTGTTTTACATGTTTACAGTACCCTGGAGGCCAGAAGCTGGCAATAGATCTCCTGGAACTGCAGTTACTCATGGCCAAGATTCCCAGCTGCCATGTAGGTGCTGGGAACTGAACCTGTGTCCTCTGGAAGAGCAGCCAGTGACTTTAATGGCTAAGCCATCCCTCCAGCCCCTAGCTTATTAAAAAAGAACCTGACAGCCTGGTCTTGTGTCCTGCACTTGTAACCCTAGCACTTAAAAGGCTGAGGCAGGAGGATCCAGAGTGAAAGGCCCCTCTGGCTACAAAGCAAGATCCTGCTGTCAAGATAAAATAGAAATGAATAACTTTTAAGATAATGTGACATTCGTAAATGAGTGAGACTCAGTTGATATTTAACAGTTTATTAGTCCAGACTAGTTGCTGTGGTCCTTTACAACTTTAGTATATACAATGAAACTGTGCCGAATGCATACACTGATAGAATTTGATATAGACTAATATTATATGATAAATATCGGAATGAGATGCCTAGGGACAAACATCCCTTTCCAAGAGCACCATAGCCACCCCTTTCCAAGTCAGTACATCTAACCTATGCAGACAGGTGACCCAACTGAGGCTCAGCTGTAGAACTGGGGAAGCTGGTTGACCCTGGCTGCTAGCAGTGAATTGACTTGGTTCTCGAGAACCTGTCTGTGGAGGAGACTGTGGGAAACTGGATCGTGCTTGAGTAATGACCTAAAAAACACACACATGTACCACGGCCCCACCCCATTTCATTGGCCGAACACAAATACAAAGACAAAGGCGTTAAGAATTTCAAGATGATGACCATTGAGCATCAAATAAATGTCAAGTATGGGGATGCTGAGGAGTAGGGGCTTTTCTTTTATAATGCATCGGTTGTGCCTTGTGGATGTCAACAAACTAAAGCACAGATAGTACTTCCTTGGCCAACCTGTCCCTGTCACAGCCTCTCCTTGTGTGGCCAGTCATAGAACCAGTGGGAGGGACTAGGAACTCATGGCTCGTTCTCACACTCTGGTTCTTTTTTCGTTCTTCTAGTCATGATCCACAAGTCCTATCTAAAGACTTGAGTCTTAGCCAGGCAGTGGCTGTACATGCCTTTAATCCTAACACTTGGGAGGCAGAGGCAGGTGGATCTCAGAGTTTGATGCCAGCCTGGTTTATAGAATGAGTTTCAGGACAGCCAGAGCTATACAGAGAAACCCTGTCTTGGGAAAAACAACAACAACAACAACAAACAAACAAACAAACAAAACAATAAACATGAGATGAGTCTTTCAAAAAACCTGTCCCAAGAGGTGGGACACATCAGAAAATTCAACCTAAGACTACAAGAACATAACTTGGAGTGCCCAAGTGAAAACCACAGCTCTCGTCTTAATGGCAATATGAGATAGTTTACCCAGGAGTCATTTGAGTGCCCATGACCCAGGAACACAGATTGAGGTGACCCCAAATTCCATGTTCCAGTGTAGAAGCAGTTTCATGAAGTTTTAATAGTTTGATAAGACAAAGAACATTGTAAATCAAGACAAGTTTAAAATTCATCAGTAGGTAAGGATGGAAAATGGAAAAGCTTTTCTATAGGCCCAGGATGCTACCTGAGCTTTTGGGTGGTAGCAGGCAGTTGGTTGGTGGAAACTAGCGGTCTGCTAAATTAATAGATTCCAAAAGATTTTTTATCTATTAGTTACAAGATGTTAGCGCTGACACATAGGTAGGCAAGGAATGGCTGTTCCTTAGGGATAGAACTAGCCCAAGATAAGGCAATTGACCTCTGGACCTGCAACATTCCGGTCTCTCCACAGTCCTGAAGTACTAACCAGTCAGTCAGAATCTGCCACACAGCTCCTTTTCAGGAGTTTGGTTCACACACCCTGGCCATGTTCACACACATGATGGCCCATGCCTTGGGTCTCTGCCTTCCTCTGTCTAGACCTCTGCTTCCTTATCATTCAGTTCTTTTGTTACAGTGTTGGCTTCCTCTCTGTTAATGAGGAGTAAGACCAGGTGAGTGCTCACATTTCCTCTTGGGTTTATTCCTGGGAGAGGGCTATTTCTGGCAGAAGGTGCTTGACCTCTTGACTGTTTAATCTCCATTTTTAATGGACCAGCTGTAATCAGTGTATTTTAATTCATCAAAGCCATATCTCAGCTGTCTGCTCTGCTGCTATTAACACCCAGAAGCCAAAAGAAATGAGGCATGAGCGATCTGGATATGTGTTGGCGAAATGGGCCCTCATGTCCTCCAGGCCCGACAACACATGAGCCCTCGTTCTATCACCATAGATTTTTAAACAACGATAATTAATACTTAGGCCAGGTCCTTTTATCTAAGGTGCTCAAAGGGCTTTGTGGTCATTAACCCATTAGTTTACCTGCCTCAAGCCACCCCAACGTCAGGAGGCCTCTCCGTACAACAAAGAGAGAGGGTCATGACTAACTAGAAGGAAGGTCGCGAGGTAGAGGTCACCAATGTAGTTCACCTGGAAGCATTGAATGGAAACATCTCCTGAGTCTGTAACAGAATCTCACTCTCTCAGAGCTGTGGTCCGTCTGATCCTCTGCAGAGCCCCCCTTCCCCTTCCTGCAAGTTTTAGCCTTACAGTTACAGGGAGCAGCAGTGATGCTCCAAGCAAATGAGCCTCCTTTGAAAATGGAGAAGGAGACTCATAAGACAGAAACATTCCAACATGAACCTGTCCAGGGTTGGCTACAGGTCTGATGTCTTGGTAGATGGTCTCCATTAAAGAGCATATGCTGGAAGCCATACTATGAAAAAGAATCTTCTCAGAGACGTGAGATCCTCCCACTTCATGAAGTCAGGCACCTAGCAGGCGCTCCACATGGGACCAGATGCTATGAAAAGATCCTGATTCAAAAGCAGCTTTAAACCTAATCAAGGAACTGAGGTTCACGCAGATAAGTGAGATTCCGATAGATAAGCTGACATATTTCTTTTGGTTTGTTTGTTTGTTTGTTTGTTTGTTTTTCAAGACAAGGTTTTTCTGTGTAGCCCTGACTGTCCTAAAACTCACACTGTAGACCAGGCTAACTTCAAACACAGAAAACCTCTGCCTCTCGAGCGCTGGAGATTAAAGAAATGCACAATAGCCTGGCTCATGTAGACATATTTCTCATTCATTATTATTCATTTATTTCTATTTATTGTTTACTACCTTACATATTTGTTGATAAATAAATTCATAAATTAGGCCCCAAAAGTTAAGATTTCTTTCATTTTGAATAGATTGTATGCTTAAGGTACTGTAGGGTTTGGGAAAAGAGAATCAGCAGGGGCTGGAATGAGCCAGACAGGCAAGAAGAGTCTCGGATGCGTGATGAACCAGACCTTAAAAGTAGAGGAAAAAGCTTGAGGAAGAAACAAGGTGCATGGAAATAAAGGTAAAGGGTCGTTCAAAACAGAGGCACTGAGCAGGTTGGGTCTTCTTTTTGAGGCTCTAGAAAAATCAACTTGGCTAAACCATGCAATCTGGAGACCAGAGTGCAATACTGTGGGGTTAAAAAGGGCAGAGCCAGGTTATTGGGTATCTCAATGCCAAACCAGGTGCATTGACGTGGGGTCTTCAAGCTGCAAATGGGAAAAGAATCACAAAGGAAACTGGAGAGTCGTTTTGTTATGCTTTGCCTATGTCAGCATAGGAAAACATAAGTATGTTATTTCAGAGTCAGCTGGTAGAATCCTAGGTTATTTCAGAATCAGCTGTGTGACCTTGAATTATGAATTCCTTCATCTCTGGACCTATTAATGCCCAGATGCAATGAGACCCACAGTAAGTGTGTTAATGGGGATGGGGAGAGTAAAGATAAAGATTACAGAATGGTTGGTCCAGGAAAGAGCCCACTCACAGTGGGTGGCCAGGGTCTCTGGAGTGATTGCTGAAAGACAAGGAAAGAACAGAGAAAAAAGGATTGCCCCTAATTTCACAATTTTATCCACCATCTATTTTAAGGGCAGGGGAGGTAAAATTGCCCTTCCACATGCCTCGGAGAAAACCCTGGTGCTTTGTTGAATGAAAGCTCTTCAGACTCTTAGGATTAAGATCAGAGTTTGGGGGAAGCCCTGAAATAGAGATTAGGCATCCTCCCCATAGCTTCCTAAGTGCACTGAGATATACTGTAAGGAGGCAGATTTCACTAAAGTCACACCTCTCTGGGGCCAAGGCACCTCTGGTCAGCAGTAAATAATTGTCCTCACCAAAGAAATCTGGGTTAAAAAGTTGCCTTGAAACTGGACTAGGTGTGTCTTTCTGTCCTTCCGGTTCTTTTTATAGACTCTTCTGGAACCTGAGTGAGGTCCTGCAGGTCTTCCGCCCATTTGAGGAGAGATTAAAGCACCTGAAAGTGTCTCCTCCTTACTCATTTGCAGCCACAGCTTCCCCACCAGCACAGCCTCAGAGGCTTCCGGAGTAGACTTGGAGGAGGTGAGTCCAGGGGCCTTGGTGTCAGCCTTGACTGGGATGACCACTCCTGACCACTGAATTTGGAATAGCTAAAAGGGACCAAGGCTAGGAGTACTCAAATGCAATGTAGTATTGTATGTTTGTAATTTTGCTGGTGTTGTTGTTGTTGTTCTATTTTACCAGAATCAACATGGGGTTATTTTTCTAGGCCACTTCAGCTAAGTCAGGGGTTTTAGTGTTAAATATCTGTAAAAGTTACTAGAAGGTAGGTGGCTTTTGTATACTCTTTTGGTGAACAAATGACAGGTGTTTAATAATAGCTCTTTGCATTGGATTGACTTGAATTAAAATGAAAGAGAGTCATTGAAATTACTGGAGAACAAGGCTTGCTTGACAGCTTTATTTTTTTTATTATCTATTGGTTATTTTATTTATTTACACTTCAAATGTTGGCCTCCTTCCTTCCCGATTTCCCCTCTGCAATCCTCTCATCCCATCCCTCTCCCCCATTCCTCTATGAGGGTGCTCCCCCACTTACCTCCCATTCCCACCTCGCCATTCTAACATCCCCTTACACTGGGGTATCAAACTTCCACAGGACCAAGGACCTCCCCTCCCATTGATGCCATTTAAGGCCATCCTCTGCTACATATGCAGCTAGAGCCATGTTTGAAGTTTGAGATAATCCAGTCCAGGATGCGTTGACTTTCTGGAGCCAGCTACAACTCAAATCCTACCCATCAGATAAGAAGATTCTGTTTGCCTTCAAATGGCCTTTGGCAATTCTGATATGAAATTAGATGAATTATCTGGAGTCCCCAAGTAAAGATCATCCTAGTTTTGCTCTTCAGAGTATGAAACTGAGTAGTTTTGAAGGTTTTAGGTCAGCCTTCTAGTTTCCTTCCTTGGTCTCCGGTACACAGCTATTATAAACCCAGAGTGGGGGGGGGGTAACAGAGACGACGGCAATTCTACTTTTGTAGACTTTATTTGTAGCTATCAGATCTTTATCCCACCCAAGAAGGCTGCTGTTTAGATAAGTGTTGAGAGAGTAATAAAACATGACTCTCCAGTGTCTGGGTGGCTATCCAGTAAAGCCATTCCCTGCGCATGCTCAGGGGTCTTTATTTGGACTGCCAACAGGCGTTCTTGTGGGCGGATATAAAGTCACGAGTTATCTTGATCTTTTTTCTCACAGGAGACCAGACGTCCATTCTCGTGAGGTCTACCTATAAGTCACCATGTATGAGGACTGCGTGAAGTCCACAGAAGACTATTACCTCTTCTGTGACAATGAGGGGCCATGGGCCATTGTTCTGGAGTCCTTGGCAGTGGTTGGCATAGTGGTTACAATATTGCTACTCCTGGCATTTCTGTTCCTCATGAGGAAGGTGCAGGATTGCAGCCAATGGAACGTGCTTCCCACCCAGTTCCTCTTCCTGCTTGCTGTGCTGGGGCTCTTCGGACTTGCTTTTGCCTTCATCATCCAACTCAACCAGCAAACTGCCCCTGTTCGCTACTTCCTCTTTGGGGTTCTCTTTGCTATCTGCTTCTCCTGCCTCCTGGCTCACGCCTCCAACTTGGTGAAGCTGGTCCGGGGTAGAGTCTCCTTCTGCTGGACAACAATTCTGTTCATTGCCATTGGTGTCAGCCTGTTGCAGACCATCATTGCGATAGAGTATGTGACCCTCATCATGACCAGAGGCTTGATGTTCGAGCACATGACACCATATCAGCTCAATGTGGACTTTGTCTGTCTCCTGATCTATGTCCTCTTCCTGATGGCCCTCACATTCTTCGTTTCCAAGGCCACTTTCTGTGGCCCATGTGAGAACTGGAAACAGCATGGAAGACTCATATTCGCCACTGTCCTCATCTCCATCATTATCTGGGTGGTGTGGATCTCCATGCTCTTGAGAGGCAACCCTCAGCTCCAGCGGCAGCCCCACTGGGATGATGCGGTCATCTGCATTGGCCTAGTCACCAACGCTTGGGTCTTCCTGCTGGTCTACATCATCCCTGAGCTGAGCATCCTCTACAGATCCTGTAGACAGGAGTGTCCTCCACAAGCGAACGTCTGCCAGGTCCCCATCTACCAACGCGGCTTCAGGATGGAGAACCAGGAACCCACCAGAGGTACGTCACAGAAGGCCTGGGGCAGGGAGGGAACTAGATAGGGAGCAAGAACCTAGAGGGATCACAAAGGCAAAGGCCAGATTTTTAGTGAGTCATGTCAAGTATAGAGACAAAGCCTTCTAGAACCAAAAGTAGAAAGTAGGTCCTCCAAAACATAGGCTTTGTGTGGAAAGAACAAGACCAGGAATGGAAGATTTTCAGTGGAAAAGTATGACAGTTACTGAAGCTTGGCCAAGGACGCCATCCATTCTAAAAGGAGTTAACTAAGCCAGTCAGGCAGCGCACACAGAGGAAGATACAAGAGGATCGGGTGTTCAAAGTCGTCTTTGGTGACTAGAGTGAGATAGAGTTTGAGACCAGCTTGAGCTCCATGAATGTCTCAAAAACATCAATAAAGTAAACAAACAAAATAAAACAAGTTAACCAACCCCAGATTAAGCACAGATCAGACCTGACGGTGCTAATTTCTGACCTGTTATTTACCAAGCTCCAATGTAGACCCTGGCAAAAGTGACTAACATGTTAAAAGTTTAAGTCTGAAAGTTAACTTATCCAGATAAAATGTAAAACTCATTCACAGGTATCATCACTCAGTCACGGAGTTCAACAATTTCCGAGTTTCTATTTTACAAACTCTTCACTGTTTATTAAAAAAAAAAAAAAAGATACTTCAAGGTTCTGTTACAAAACAGCAACCAGAAAGACCATTTAATCTGAATTCTAAGTAAAAGCTCAGATGTGTGATCATTAGTAGAAAGGAAACAACTGTTTATGTGACATTTCCTTGATAATTTCAGATCACATGTTTATCCATATATAAAATCAAGCCACCTGTCTCTATTTTGTTAGGGGTTGACATTATCCATGATACCAAAGATGCTTGGTACCATCAACCTGGGGGAAATAGTGGCTAATTTCAGCTATCTGGAAATGTATCAAAACTCATTAATTCCTCTTAGGAAACATCTGACATTATTCATAGCCCAGCAGTATAGCTTCAAGCTTTACATCAATTTTGGTGTCTTAATAGACAACTGATTTCTCCCATTTTCTCTGTATTGTATAACAAAGATGCTATTTTATATATTATGTGGGACACATAATGTTTGCCAGGCTCAAAAACATTTAATAGAAGCTTTCCTTTTAAGTGTGTACACTTTCTGAGTTGCTATCTATAGTTAATTACACATTCAAATTAAATCCTGTCCAGATAAATGCATCTATTAGTTCTTTTCAGTTCGGTTGATGGACAGTCAGAAATTGACACTGCATATCCTTCTTACAAAATTAGGCATTGCTGTGGATGCTTCCTGTCAGATCCTTGAGGTTTGTGGGGGATTGCAGAGTCTCCCATTCCTTAAACTTTCTTCCGTAAGTCCCCCTTGGAGATTAGATGAACAGTGCTGGTTTCGTTGTTGCTGTTGTTGTTGTTGTTGTTGTTGTTGCTGCTGTTGCTGTTGTTGTTGTTGTCGTTGTGAAATTCCAAAAAGCAAAATCCCAGAGACAAAGAGGTTCCACAACATCCAAAAGGTCACTTGTAATGATCCCGATTCCAAGTTTCCCCAAATGTTGGGCCTGTGTTTAAAGTTGTAGAGAAGGTACCACTCTGTCTCAAACAAACATATTTCAAGTGTTGCCAGGAGTGGTACAACAGACTCCTAAGCCCAGCACTTGGGAGGCTGAGACAAGACAGCCAGCACAAAGATTGGGGCCAGCCTGTGATCTGAGATGAATTCCAGCCCACATGAAGTACATAGTAATGTGGTATGAAGAACAAAGGATTATGAGGAAAGTCTCAGAGCTTGAAGAAGTATTCGATTCTTAATTTCATCAGAACTAAACTATTATACAATCAAGAGTAGAAAAATCCAGTTCCTCCGATTGGGGGGGGGGGGTACACACCTTTAATCCTAGCACTTGAAAGCCAGGAGGAAAAGAGATCTCTGAGTTCAAGGACAGTCAAAATAAAAACAAAAACAGAAAGAGAGAGAGAGAAACAGAGAGAGAGAGAAACAGAGAGAGAGAGACAGAGGGAGAAAGAGAGAGAGGGAGGGAGG